TGATTATCTGCTTCTTTTCTGGCCTGCTTATCTCTCAGTCTCCTCAGTCTCCTTTTCGTTCACTGCTTTGACTCCATTCTTCTGTCGAGGCGGTTTTTCTCGATGACTGTTTCTCATACAAACTCGGCCTGAAGGGCAGCAGATACACGCATCGCACAAATAATACTTACACAGAGACAACACACACACACAAAATTTTCGCGGCACTTTGCATTGTATCCAACAGCTCTAGGTCTTGGATTTTAGAGCTTTGTCTCTTTCTGCCGTGACAAGGCTCCTGTGAAGCTTGCTGCGAGCGACTGAATCGATAGTTGCCCGGTGCTACAGCACATAAGGCATACGGGTTGAAGCGCGAATCCCGATTTACAGTTCTGATTACGCTTGCGTGCCGTGGGCATTATCCTCGAGGAAAGCAGCTATGTGCTCGTGTGCTCGGGTATGTTTCCTTCCGCTCACAGATTTTTCAGCCTGAGTCTACATCTCAGTAGGCAAAGGTGACTCTCTTCGTGATCAGAAAGCGCTAAGGGCCCGAGCCGAGATGTTGTATCTGTCCGCGTAATTTAGCCTGAGGCTCTCACAGTGCAAAGCCGCTTTGCTGGGGTTTGACTCGGACTCGAAGTTAAGGCAAGCGGCAGATACATTGACAGCATCATAACGGTCATAAACCTCAGCTGGCAAAATCAACCGAGAACTTCCCGGAAGTAGGCAAAGGCCAGCTAGGTCACCCTGTACATTCATCTCCAGGCCGAGCCCCGACATGTCGTTTTATGTCGCCACTATTCTAGCTTGGCATGACAAGCCTGACCCCTGCAGCGAAGTGCACACTGGAAGCAACCCAAGAAAGGTCCCAGTCGCATGCGCCACGTTTGGGGTGCTCTTTCGTCTGTTGCAATGTCGGAAACAACCTGGCAAAGGGAACCAGCAACCACACTCGTGCAGCAGCAGCAGCAGTGCAGTCCGATTGATGACGCGTTGCCGGAATTGCCGAGTGACATCAGGCTGGCCGTCGACCGATAACTATCTCAAACATGAAAGCTAGGCAGGGGCATCAGACCGGCCAATCACGTAGTTCAGCACTATCATGACGATGAGCAATGCCGCGCCTGAAAGCTCCGAACAGCACCATGCAACCGGACTCATCGAAGCAAAAAACATGGAACGGAGCTCGTGGACTTCATGCCGGGTGCTTGTCCATGCACTCAGTTTCAGCTACCATGATAACGAAGCCTATTTTTCACTCTGCATCCCTAGTGTGTTGTCATGAAAACTGTTCCCGGACAAGACCTCCAGTATCAGGCACCCCGAGTGATAGAACAGTGTTGAAAGCTTGATGTTGAAGGTATTTGCTGCGTTCTGCTTCTGCCATGAAAGCGCGTAAACCGGTAGAGCCGCGCGACAGACACCACATCAAGTTATGATTTTATGACACTATGAAACCCTCATGAAAACCGTTGCGACATGCGGTAAAACCTAACCCTGATTCAAGACTGTCGCAACCTTACAGAACCCTTTGCTGACGCCCGAGCCTATGCCGACCATGGTACCTGTGGAGACTTCCTTGACGGCCGCAGCCTCCTGATCGCAAAAGGCAGCAGCAAGCTGCCCTCCGGCTAAAGTATATACATACATACATACATACATACATACATACATACAGACAGAATATAGTTAATATAGCTAGTGCAGCCAGTAGGGGCCCTAGTAAACAATTAGAAAAATTAGAATGACTTTGACATTCATTATTCCGACCCCTGTAGTCGGCTTCTCAGGATATGCGCGGGTCTCGAATCCCGCATGTGCCATCCGTTGCATGCACTGTATACACCTCCAGCAGCTAAGCCAAGGAACCTGCTTTAGAAACCCCTAGTTTCTATTGGTTTCTCTTGGACATCTTAATATGGGCCTTATTACCTCGTCGATTTTGCGCTTACATAGGGCACCCTCACTTCAGTCCGGGAACAGCCCTCTGGATACACTTCTACTTAGCACCAGTCTACAGCTCATCCGGCCAGAGGGGGCAAATGAGTTTCAGAAAGTGGGGTAGAACATGAGACAACCATCGGGTACTGAGCCCACCCGCCTGAAGCCTTCAGCTCCGAAGGCCTGGAACCTCATTGAGAAGCCTCTGGCTTCTGTTATCTGAAGGAATCTTGATACATCCGTCTTGGGTCCAAGGAAGTCAAGGCTTCCAGTTCAACATGGGCACGTTAACCCTAAACCCTAAACCCTCTTTCGAATCTCGCTGTGCTGAGCCGGTTTTGTCCAGCGACCTGCCTCTCGAATGGAATCTCGCGGCGCTGCATACTTCAGAACGTCGGGTGGCCTGACCAGCCTGAGAGTGAGGGTCTCTTTTTATATTTTATAGGGGTACCTGGTTCTTTGAATGTTTCAAGAGTTCGACGAAGTAGTTTTCGAAACAAATGACCCAGGTCGGGGCTTCAACGTACTTGTGCACAAAAGTGAACGGTTTCGCTGCTTCGGGGATCTCTGCTTGAGCAAGACCTCACGAAAACAAAGGTCACCATAACATGCCTCCAACAAACGTTTCGGCCCAACCTCAGAACCCATGGGGTAGCAGGTAGCATGACCAGTGACCAGAGAGAGGTCTCACCATCCGAAGATAAAGATGCCTACTTGGCCTACCTGCTTGAACGAAGCATCTCGCTGCAAACTGTTGGCCTCGATACTCTGTCCTCATCTTAATGCCGGAAACTGATGTCTGACGTCCCATCAAAGGTCTTCACGCCTGATGGGATCGGTCGTCTCGTTCGCCAATCGCACTGAAACCAGCCTGACCAGAAATGCTCTTGGGCCAAAGCTCGCTTGGCTGCACACCGGCAGTGCGATCATCCTTACATAACGGGAGCCCCCTCTGCTCGGACATAACAAAGGATCCGCTTCCCGGACGGGGCAAAAGCATTCCTGGACTGACTCGTGGTTGGAGGTGTGGCTGTGAACGGCTACGGAGAGCGCAGGGCACTTCGCCATATCTTACGAACAAAATTACGAAAGCCTGCAACATGAACCAAAGCCAACACCCCGCAGCTTCGCGGATTGCCTCTCGGTTTGCAAGAAGCAGCTATCCAAATCAGCGTCGGGATCGAGCTGCCCACCTTCCAGCTCGAGGCCTACATTGTTGCAAGCACCGCTTGGCTGCTGAGCTTTGCAAAATGCTCTTGATGCTGCTGCTCCTTAGTGTTGATTGACTCCTGACCACTGTTGGACTCTGCCGACAAGGCCAGGTTCTTGTCGATGCCCGATCGAAAGCTGCGCACAAGTGCGCCCCTTCCGATCAAAGCATGCACAAACTACGCTACCACAAGTGTCGCAACGTTCTGCCGAGACTTGGCGTTCAACATCGCACTCTCGTCTGCCACCACCCCGTATTTGTATAAGGTCAAGAAGCCAGTAGCCACAAGACATCTGACCCGCGTTTCCAAAGTGCTAATCCGCAACCGTCCGTATGCCTGCGGCATGCAGCTACCATACCACACACAGCCACCAACCCACAAAGGCTTTCAATCCTGCCAGCTCCAAACAACTGCTCTCGGAATGCTGTGACCCATATTGTCAGATGAAAGGGTACTGCTCGAGACCCCGCATCGCACGTCCGCTCTTTCAGCCATTCGACATGCCATGAACTTCATTTCACGAAGTGGCCGCGGCCAGCGCTATGTAAGTTTCAGATGTCATCAAGGATATCAACTTACTGATGGCAACATGGCAATGCAAACAACAAACAAGAAACTGCAAATTGCCAAGTTCTCTGCGAGAGTTCACCGTGTCAAGGTGCCGCCAGGAACACAGTCAAGAGTCAAGAGTCAAAAGTGGCGCAAGCTAGAACACATGTCTTGCGAAGGCCAGGTTGTGATGCCGCAAACCGTGATTCAGACAGAAACACACTCGAAGTTCAGCTCCCAGCCTGCCAGTGTCGCAGAAAGCGGCAGCAGGCAGAGTGCCCGAAGCGGCCGGAGGTGCATCATTGGGCTCGGAGCTTCATGCAGCAGTTCTGCGTTCTGCGGGGCTGGTAACGCTCCGTCCAGCGCTCCGCCCGGATTCTTCGGAGATGCAGGAAGACAAGAGCAGTGAGCAACTTTGTTTTGGAGTTTGGTCTAGACTCTAGACCTCAGCCTCGTTGGATCTCAGGAGATCTTATGCAAAGCTGCACTTTGAGTATATAGCACACAGGTCAGACCGGCACGATGGTGTCTTCAACTTCACAACACAACCTGTCCTAGTCTTGGACACATGGAGAAACCCGGTTCGGTCGAAGGTTGTTCCGGGCTTGAGCCGGGCAACCTCTCCGCCCACAGCAGTCGAGGCAAGGCACGCAGGGAGATTGCTCTGACATTGGAACAAGCATGTAAAAGCATGGGAGCTCCTATGATTGATATGCATAATCAATGTACCTGACAACAACAACTGAATACTAGGGAAGCTCAGGACGACGGCTCGGATGCCATCACAGTACTAGCTATTAGCAAGCAACCGAAGAAAAGCAGCGAGCATACAACAAATCGAAAAATGCTTCCTGTACGACAACAAGTGATACACCAGGGGCAGTACGAAGAAAAGGCGCAAACAAATGCTTCTGCTGCTGCTGCTACTGCTGCAGCTGCTGCTGCTTCTGCTGCTGCTTCTGCTGCTGCTATGCCGCTGCTACCACTACTACTACCACCACTACGACGACGACGGCGACTACACTCCCATGACCACCACCACTAGTGCTAGCACTAGTTGTATTGCTACAATTCTATAATTATGTGTCTAATATTGCCACCACCTCCTACTGCAACCACGTTCGCAAAGACGGCTGATGCCAAACCGCAAATCACCGTTACAAGTGCAACAGGGCCTTTGAACAGCAGTTGCGAAGCCGATTCTGCCAGCATGATGATGAGAAGTACCACGTGTAGTGGTAATCAGCCCAGACACATCCAGGCCGGTGCAGGCTTGAACCCCGAAGAAGTGCACACTGCAAGGGCTTGAAGGGTGTGTGCCTGGAGGTTAAAGCCTGCCAGGGCCAACCCAGCCAGGATCCCGGACACGATGGCCTCGGAGCCAACGAGAGCAACGTAGATTCAACTGCATGGGCTTGATCAGGGCTTCTTTCTCGCATTGGATGGCATCTGTGGCACTCCCTCTCGTGGCCCTGGTGAGAAAATTGGTTGCTGGAGCTTTGGAAAGCTCAATGAATTCCCATTCTGCGGCCCTCTCCTGCCACAGCATTTGTCTTGAAGATCTACCAAGGTTTCTCAAAGGCCGGCGATTTGGTGTCCCGTGCAAGAGTTCACACCCAAACCTAGCAAGGACAGCAATACTTGCTTCGCAAACTCTAGCACGTTATGCAAGGTGAACTTCCCTATGATACCTCGTTCACATGGTCACACTGCGGAAGCACAAGCGTTCCAGCCGACAACTTCCTACAGCAACCAGCCCTGCAAACCACCGCAGACCATCTGGCGCCGTCTTTCCACCGCTTTGCGCGCGACGCAGTCTGGCAGCGCTGCTGGGCCTCGGTGCGAACAACATTGTCAGCCGAGCTTCGCTGATCTGATGCCTTGTTATTTTTCGACGCTAGAGGGAGCTCTGGGTGCATCTCGGGCACATCATGAACAACCAGGTGGATGATGCCTTGACCTTAGATTCCAGGAGGCTCCAAAGGAATTTGAATCGTAGTCTGTCGGCCGAAACGACAAAAACTCGTCGAAGAAAGCAAACAAGCCTTCGGCAAATGCAGCCTCCCTGCTGCCAGAGTGGCTGCAAAGGATTTCGTTTTTCCAATAGCTGCTGGTCGGTACCCAAGCGGCCGGTAGACTTTTTCGAAGGCCTTCGAACGACCAGGCAGCTGCTGCAACTCATCGCAGATATGGACTACCCGGCTTTGATGCAGTGATGCAGACCACTCACTGCGCAGTGACCTCGCCAAAGTCACGCCGCGCCACAAGCTCCAGCGGCTCCGGGGCAGTCAGTGCTGCCACGGTTGCGTGCCTTGGCTTCCACCCATCTACTGGCCAAAGTATGACACAGGGCGTGTGATAGCTAGCTTGTCGCACACACACACCCCTGTCAGAGGTGCTGGTAAAATTGGCGGCAGCAGCGCCAAAGTCTTCCTCGAGCTTGCAATAACTCGATGCCCCGACATCTCTGCACTCCTAGATTGTCACGGCTCGGTCCAAGCTGACTTGTCCCAGTCGACTTCTGGTGAAACGAAGTCCTGCGATCCCCAGGCCACAAGCGACCCATCAGAGATTGCCATGAAGCCATGGCTACAGGCGAGCAAGTGCTGAACCTGAGAGCATTTCGTACCGTTGCCACTATCGCAATGCTTGTAGAGGTCCCAGTGGCCCCAGGTCACGACGGAGCTATCGCTCCGCAGGGCAGCAAAGCCATGGTGCGCAGCCTGGACCTCCACGACATCCTGGAGCTGTTCTTGCACATCGCTGCTGTCACCACCGTAGTCAGGGTCGCCCCAGGTCACGACCGACCCATCCAGGCGCAAAGCGGCAAAAGCACGGCAGGAGCTGTGCAGCTCCTTAACATGTTGCAAAGCTTGTTCTACTGAGCTGCAGTCGCCACCACGGTCGGGATCACCCCAAGTTACCACAGAGCCACCGTGCAAAATAGCCGCGCATGCATAGGGCCCGGCCTTCAAACACTGGACATCTCTCAGCCCTTCTATAGCCTCGCCGCCGTAGTCGGGATCTCCCCAAGCGACAATACCCTGTTTCGATGTTAATGCCGCAAAAGCAAAGCCCGTGGCCTCCACCTGCTCCACACTTGCCAGCCTGTCTCGCACATGCTTGCTGTTGCCACCACGATCTGCATCGCCCCAGGTCACCACAGACCCGCAATCTCGCACTGCTGCGAAAGCATACAAAGTAGCAACAATCTGATGCACACCGACCAGTTCATCTTCAGCAAGCTTACTGCTGCGCACGACTTCAACGTCACCCCAGCAAACAACAGAGCCTGAGTCCAGCAAAGCAGCGAACGCACTCATGGATGGAACGATCTGGCGCACATCCTGCAACCTGGACCGCACACGATCGCTGTCGCCACCATAGTTCCGATGGCCCCAAGTCACGACCGAGCCATCCTCACGCAAGGCCGCGAAAGCGCAGAGCGTGGATTGGATTTGCACGACATCCTGCAGCTGATGCTTGACGTGGCCGCTATCCCCACCGCATTGAACATCACCCCAGGTGAGGACCGAGCCATTCGCGCGCAAGAAAGCAAAGGCACGACCCCCTGCACTCGCCAGCTGCAGCCGCCTGGCGCAGGCCGTCAAAGTCTCGCCATTCTTGATGCCCAAAGCCTGAAGGCTCGAGGCTGCGGGGAGCTCCCCAGAGGCGCCGATCAGCGCACGCAGTCCAATGTTCAGCTCGCGCCCGGCACGCGACTTCAGCTCGGACACGGTGGACTCGAGGCCCACTTCTAAGCAGATACCCCTGCCGCTGAGGAGGCTGATGGTCACAAGGATCGACATTCTCTCAGGTCTGCCGAAGCCCGGGGCTCACGGAGATTTCAAATCAGACTCAACGACACCTCCGAACTAAACTGCACGCAGAAAGCTGCCAGCACCTCGAGGTTTCAGGACCTTCAAAGGGTGCCTGACATCCTAATGCTTGCCAAGGCACTGGTCCGTCAAACGCAAATGTACCTCACCACCTGGAAGATGGATCAGCGGATCACTGGCATGCTTGAAGGCTCAAAGGGGTGCAGAATTGAGCGGCAAAGTGTAAGCTGAAGGTCAACTCTATGCAAGTCACTGAAGGCAAGTGGCAGTCTCGATCAGCACTTAAACGATCAATCGCTGACCACAGCTTGTTGACTGTCCCGCCGCCCACTAGCCTGGCTTCAGAAGGGAGGATGCCCCGCTGAAGAAGTCGCCCAGAACCGTTGAAAGATCCTGCAGAATCAGCATTCACAACTGGGCACGGCCTGTCAAGGAGTCTCTGCGAGCGAAACAGGCACCGTCTTTTTACCAGCGCGGTTCACGTGTGCAACATTGTGCAACCATAGATTTCGTGATTGGCGCGGCAGGTTTCCGAAGCTTGGAGCTCTTTAAGCTCTTCGTAGCTCTTCTTCGTAGCTCAAGGCTGGGTCGTCGAGAAATCTCTGAAGAGTACTTTGAGCCGCTGGATCACTTCCTTTTCATGCTCTGTAGGTCATCGCTTTTCAAGAGCCGCACCAAGGGCAACGCGCCCATTTCTGTTTCTGCATGTTCGGGAGATGCCGGATGCAGTAGTCCAAGCAGGCCATGGGGAAAGAGGTGTGCAGCCAAGTATACTCCCTGGGTCTTGCCATCAAGGTATCCAATATGCAGCACAAGCCCTTGCTGATCATTCACCGCACTGATGGCCCGGGGGTGTGGGGCATGCGTGTCGCTTCTTCCTGGATGTCGTTTGATGAGGTTTCGCGGCACACAGCCAGCGGCGAATGTCACCGTCACTATCAACGCAAGCACGTTTCGATTCTGTCGGTGCCCTGTGAAGAATTCTTTTCCATGATTATCCTGACTGAAAAACCTATGGCACGGCTAGCATGAAATCAGCGATCACCCGGTTAAGGGGGGGGCTCCTGGCTAAGCACAAGCGCTGCACTGAGCCGCCTGGTACATGCGCCGCATCTGTGCAGCATGGCTTTCCGCCATGGGCCCGGCAGCTTCTCGGGACTTCGCCGGCTCTGCCAGGGGAAAGTTGAAAACGACCTCAGCTGGCATCGGCGCTGGGATGCAGTGGGCACATGCGGCTGAAACATCAACTCAGCCACAGAATCGAAGGATGCCGCGCGGAAGCGAGAACCTGGTTAGAACCAGGAATCTTAGCTCAGCGGCTTGCGCCTTGACCTAGTCTACCCGAACGTCGAATTTTCAGGGCCCATGACAGTAATGTAAGGGCCTGAATAATTAGAATAGGGTTTTGGGCTTCACGACACAAGCTAGCCCGGTTTCAACGAAGGTTCAGGGTTGAGGGCTTGAGCCCGGGATTTGGGCTCCTTTTCAGTATAACTATAATCAGGAACACCCAAAATAGTATTGGTAATTTTTCAGGCTCCTATATTATGCCACAAGCCGGCGGCGGCTGGTCTGTTTGCTTTGCAAATCCTAGGACACGGACGACCTTCCAAAGTGGACCTTGATCCGTGCTGCGGCCAAGGCTATAGACTATAGTGCATTGACCCACACAAACGTTAATTACTGGCTGCAGTCGAAATCCCTGTACTACTTCTTAGAACCATCTTCGTCACGAAATCCTGCCCAAGGACGGAGGTCGGCAGCCGCAACAGAATGGTAAACCTGAGCCGTGCTGCGTGCCGTGGCTTGCGTTAGGGGCATGGTTTGCCGCTGCTTGCATGCTACAAGCGTGCTCAACCCCCAACCCACAAAAGCAACAGCGGCAAAGACCAGGACCTGAAAAATGCCCGAAACCCGATATACCCCGGGTTTCCTGTATACCCTAAACCCTTTTGTGCATCCAGGCCTATTGCGACT